CACACACACACACACACACACACACACACGGTGCCAAAAAAAGGGTATACTCATTTTAAGAAAGGAAAGCTGTATTAAAAACTGTAATATTCAATATATACTTATAACAAAAGATGAATACAAGTCACGTTTGAGTTCTGCAATTACAAGAGGTGCTCAAAGTGGTTGCATCCAGACACTTCTGATTATGGCGAGCTACTGCTTGAGCAATATTGACCAAAGTGTCCACTTGTATACATTCTTTTTGGCATCCCTGTGTGTGTGTGTGTGTGTGTGTGTGTGTGTGTGTGTATGTACACACACAGACACATATTTTTTACCAGTTATTGTCTAATTAGGTCAAATTTCCAGCAAAGTTAAAATACTTAAGTGTAGAATCTCAAAGCTCTATTTGATAACCCAGTGCACACCTTTGAAACTAGGTAAATTAACAAAGAAAGGTCACAAACCTTATTAGAATAAAAATATTAAACGTTTTGTGATTATATGTTTTAGATCACAAATAATACAAAAAGGTGGTGTGAATTATAAACCAAATAAACAGCTCTATTTTGCTGTTTGATTCTAATATTAATGCTCACTGCTCTGGGTGCATAGCAGATAGGCAGAGAGAACTTGAAACCTGCCTACTTAACTAATTTTGGAAAAATTTTTAAAAGAGCTTCCTGACTCTCTATAAACTCTCGTAGGTTTCGATGCCAACAGATGGCTAGCCTATCCCCCTAAAAGTAAATGGTCTCATTCTCATCACATTGCCACAGCTCTAATCCATGTAGCAATGATTTAGTTGAATCTAAACATGAGAAGAGTCTCCTTCAAGTCCATATGAAAAGAAATTCTTTAGCATATAAAAAGGGTTCTAAACTAGCGTACACAAATTAATTAATTTTGCTGTTAAATTTTAAAATTTTATTTAGAAACCAGTTTCAAAAAATTTATTTAGAAATTGTATTTAAAAGGATAAAAAATTATGATACAATGAATTTCTTCATGTACCTATGCTTCAACAACAGGTCAATATAATAAATAGATGTCTATTTAAAGCATAATGTGGGCTTCTAAAGTTAAAACTTTTTAAATTCATTGTTGTTTCCTAGTAATTCATGTAATACAACCTTTCTTTTTCCAGAAATAATTTTTCTTTTAATTTTTATTTAAATCCCCAAATGAATGCTAGGAACCCAGATAAACACATGATTATATGCATAAGTAATCTGTTGAGATGAACAGCAAATCAGAGAACCACAATATTCAATTCACTGTGAAAATATATAAATGCAACTAAAATTTCAGGTTCTTTCAGACATTCAGGAGAATGTCTGAAAAAGGACATGAAAAAAGTGTCATGGGCAAGAAGAGTTCTGACTATAGTGTATATTTAAACTTGGATGTCCCAGGCCGGCCGAGTGGCGTGATGGTTAAGAACTGGCTTGGGATGCCAGAGGGCCCCAGTTTGGATCCCACATATGAGGGCCAGTGACACTGCCCTCCACAGCTAA